TTTGTTCCCCTTCAGTAATAAAGTTGTGCTTTTTACAATGCACACTTATTTTTGTTGCCACATCGGGCACTATACTAGGTGATGAGAACGAGCGGTGGCATTTTTCAAGGGCTGCCAGGTTTCTTGTGTTTGTTGGGTTTCGTCTTTGGGGTCAGATTGTAGGTTTGTGTCAAGATTTGGAACATCCACTATCAGGCTTTCTGTTCCTTCCTATAAGGAGCAGTGTATGGTTACAAGAGTCGCTAGACTTCCTCCAGAGAGACTCACCACCCCCACCCCTGCCCAAGCCTGAGGACGCGGGAGCCGGTGCCTCCATGAGAAACAAGGATTCTGCTGGGTTTTAATTAAAGGGACTTGTCCAGCAAGACCTCAGCCCGGGAAAAGACTAGAAGGAAGCCCAGTGGCAGAGCCGTTGCGAATAGTGGACAAGTCTCACTCTCCTCCAGCCATCCCTGGAGGCAGCAGTTGCAGGAGGTTAAGCATCTGAATTGTCCAGTAAATAGGAGGCAGCAGACTGAGGTCTCTGGAAATAACAGATTTTGAAGATAAGACCTCAGGCAGTTTATAACCAGCGAAAAGCGTACATAGGTGCACTCGAGGAGGGTGCCTGCCTCTCCCCAGGTTTTCCAGTGCGCCTTGTCACCAGAAGCAGGGCTGTTTTGGAATGTGGGAGGCCAGCCCAGGAGGCCCCCTGCCCCTGGTCACACCTCAGCTCCCCAGGACAGAAAACTTGGTGCGTTTTGGCAAAAAGCCAGCCACCTCCTCCTGCGGCTGGGCTGCGAGGCAGGCAGCATCCGCTCAGCGACGTGCTCAGCCAGAGTCCCGCTTGCCAGGAGCTTGTCTGGGACACACTGGCCGTTCCCAGGCTGCCCATGGATCCCTGCCTCTGGCAGCAGAGCCTTCAGGCTTATCATAGATCCATGATGAAGGCATTCCCATGGCAGTTGATGGCATGCAGCCTCTGCCAGGTGGCAAAGTAGCCATAGAAACGGGGAGCTGCTGCCGAACCCAGTTTAACACAGGCTGCGTGACAGCAGGAGCAGCGTTGAGACGGACGCTGGCTAGTGAAGCGAACAGGGGAAGTAGGGAGAGGAGTCCTCCCAGAGGAGAGGGGAGGAGAAAGACCTTTGCACCAGGACCCTTGCTGGGTTCCTTGTAGGCCCAGCTGCCTCCACAGTGAGTGCCCCCTGCTCAGTGCCCAGGAGCAGCCCCTGGGGCCAGGTGGCCTGGGCCATTCCCCATGCCCCTCTGGGGAGTTCTTTAGTGTTTGATTCTTGTAGTTTCTAGGGTGCTAAGGCAGATGCTGGGTGACGGAGGCCGTGGCCTAAGCACTGCAGCATTCTGCAGGCAGCTTGTAACCGGCGCCTGGAGCCAAAAGAAAAGCTAACTTGCCATCACTGAGTAGTTACCACTGCTGAGTCCTGATGGAGAGGCACAGCCTGGGCCTGACTGCAGGGGGGTGGGGGTGGGGGTGCAGGCAGAGGGGCGCTGCCCCTCCCCCCACACCCACCCCTGGCCTCCTGCACTTCCCGAAGGTCAGACCAAGGAAGGACGGGCCTGAGCAGTCTGAGGTCACTTGGGGAGGCTCTGGAAGGCAGGCTGCACTCCAGCAGAGAGGGCACTGCTCTGCAGGGCGGTGGGGCAGAGTGAGTCGCAGACATGCCGCCTTCTGAGCAGGTCCACCTGCCTGGGGATCGGGCAAGTTAGCAAGGACCAGCGGTACTCACCCACCCTGAATTTTCAGGGCAGGACCTCGGGGCCGTGGCAGAGCCATGCTCCTTGGTTTCTTCGCCAGATTCAGAAAAGGAGCCTGGACTTTGCAGAGGGTATCCCCAGGGAAGCTAACAATTCATAGACTGGAGTGAAGGGCTCTGCCCTCCCCACCCCCCAGAGTAGCGGTATTTGGGTGATTGTAGAAGTTCTAGACGTCCCAGGATTTTCACTTGAGAGCACTGTCTCTCCAGGAACTGTCCAGAACTCTTACTGTGGGTGGAACTAGAAAGGCCAAGCAGCCAGCAGACTGCGGGAACCAGGCCCTTTGGGTAGCCAATTCCCCAGCCTGCTCCGTGGGTCTGGCACCCTTGGCCCCCACAGCTGATGAGCTAGGTGCCAGCCTGGGAGCAGGCAGGTCCATCCCCTCGTGGGAACCAGCTCTCGCCCTGTCCCCCACCAGTGCCTTGGGCCCAACAATGGCACTCCAAAAGCCCACGCTCGCACGCGCAAAGGAAAGAGAACGAATTGAACAGGACCCCGCGGCTCTCCTAGGGCACAGGAGCCGTGACAGGTGACGCCCAAAGCACGGCAGCACCTCCCCTGTGGCCCGGTATAGGCTGGGGAGTGACGGGCCGGCCAGCAGCTCACAGCTGCATCGTCCCTGTAAGTCAAACATTAGTGACCTTCTGTGTCCATCCACAGTAATTGAAGGCAGAAAAAATGTCTCGGTGATTAACGGGTGGTAGAAAACTTTCTGATCAAAGTGAGTATCAGAAGCTAGCTGGAGAGGATCTCCCTACCAATAAGTACCTGTAAAATAAGTGTGTCCTTGAGGGACAGGGAGGGTAACTGGCCCCCAGAATTCATTGAGGGCCAGGGGAAGAGAAGCTCCATGTTAATGTGGAGAAAAGGGTCAGTGGAGAGTGCTGGCCGAGAAACTGAGCCGCTCTTTTCTTTATCACAGAGTTCTGCTCTCACCTCCCTCCCTCTCTCCCCCTAGGCTTCTAGAATGTTCCTGCGCCTAAGCGTAGGGAGGCAGGCTGAACAGTGGCCATGAGGGTGCCTGCCCCTGACAGCTTAGGTCTCTCCCTGGCGCCCTCCCCTCCCCCTCGTGGTCTCCCCAGACCAGACCTGCTTCCCCTTCCCCTCAGTCACTGCTCTCGCCTTTTTCCTCACCCAAGTCCAAGACCTGGAATTAATTCATTAAAAGCCCCCTATTTCTCAGTCGATCTGAAGCTCGTGGCAAACGGAGATTAGTTCATTCTCTTTCCCACCCGCTCCCCTGTTTTGACAGCTACCCCAAGGAAACGGCTCCCTCCCTTTTCTGGTTTGTCTCTCTGGGAGCACTTCTGAATTGGTGCCCTTGGGGTATAAAGTACCGTATCTTTCAGCGGATCCCCAAGAGCCATGCCCCACTTCCCTAAGTGGTCCGGTGGCTTCGGGCCACCCGGGTGAAACGACTTTGCAGGCACTGGGGGCCGCTGCACTGGCAGTGAGGCCACTTAGGCCGAGGAGAGACTCCTCTCCGGCGCATGTCAGCATTTCAAGTTGAGCTTATTAGACGTGTGGCTGGAGGGGCTCACACATCACAGCGCGAGCTAATTGGCTGCAGCGCACTCTGCCTCCGGCCCATCTCCAGTCAGACGCCCGTCACCCCGCGGTCCTGGGCCAGCCGCTGGTTTGGCTTTTCTGTTTGGGTTTGGCTGGGGCAGGGTCTGGGTAGGGGGTTGGCTGGCTTGTGGTCCTTTCAAAGGTAACTTAATGAAACCCTTTAAATACTTCATTTTTTAATTTAAAGTCTTTTAATTAAAGCACTTTGCGCGGACCCCTCAGTCACAAGTTATTTCCCCACATCCTCCAGTACTTAATCTCAGAGCAGAATTGGAAATATCGATAGAAAGTGTAAATCATGCCTCTTGCTGAAAGCGTTGTATCAGGTTTCGGCTCAAAAGAGCACCATTACCTTTAGCTGTCACGGATCTGTACACTTGATCGATAAACTTCAAATATTATTAGAGGTGGAGGCTTCAGAGATTTGCTCTGTTCTTTGGAGAGAGACAGAGATAAATCTTTCTTAAAAATTGACTTGAATTTGCACTCTCAGTCTTCCTGGTGAAATGCATTTCTCTTAGCCATCCAGCAACTGCAAGGGGGACAGATTTATAGGCCATGTGCTTCTTGTACTGAAAGATTTAAATGGTAAATCCTTCACATATGACTTCACAAATCATGTAAAGTTAAAAGATTTTTACCGTTTCTGTTGCTGCTGTGCTTAAATTGTAAGGTACAGCTAGTAAATCATTTTAATGGAGGTGTCGTACTTGACTCAATAAAAAAAAAAGACAATGGTTTAGCTTCCACTCCAAAATGTTAATGTATTAATCAACGGGAGAATAATTGTTTTTTACTACATTATAAATCTCAGGTGCCATTAGGACTTCAGCACGGGCTGATGTCGCCGCATCCCTAAATTAAAATTGTTTACACAGCCATACATCCATCCCGCATCGCCATGGCTCATTCTGGGTTCATTTTGGAGTTGTTCCCCAGCCAAACATGTCGTTCCTCAGTCGAAGAAGACATCCTGAGGGAGTGATGCCTATAAAGGAAAATTAATTGCATCGCGAAGTGTTAAATAAATAAAATAAAAACCATCTGTGGCAATGGACAATTACTCCTTGCTGTCTTTTTTTTTGAAATAGGTTTTTAGGGTTTAGATTGAGGTTTACTCCTCATACATCCTAAAGGTAGCAAACCTGTCACTTGTCTTTAGTCTTATAATCCCTGTTTTATCTCTAGGCAGCGGTGGCTTTTGAGCGTCTCACTTTTCTTGTGACCTGCCTAGCAGGGAATCAGTCACTGGGCACCTCTGGAAAGAGACTCTAGCTGCCCCCCACCTGCCGCTCCTGTCCCTGCCCGAAGGTGCCATTCCCAGCGCCCCTAGATAGCCCCTCAGTAGACTCTGCAATGGATCCAGATAGAAAGAACACCAACACCAGGTCAGCACCGGGTGGACTCAGTCCTCTCCTCCCTGCTCCCTGCACTGTGTCACACGCATTAGTGTGCCTGTGCTGCTTATAATGAGATTGCCTTGTGGGGAGAACAGATCAATTCAGCCCTGGACAGGTCAGTCTGTTCCCTCCTGTGCAACTTGATCCATCTCGATTGTTCTCTCTGACTCCTCCATTAAAAGAGAAGGTGGCCTCTGACCCCGGAGGAAGTGTCTCTGGGGCGCCTGGTGTCTTGTAATGAGCGCTACATCCCTGTTCCTCTTCTGATTTCAACAGATTCCCGAGCAGGTGAAGAAGGCTCCATCCGCGCGGTGGACCACGCCGTGATCGGCGGTGTCGTGGCCGTGGTGGTGTTCGCCATGCTCTGCTTGCTCATCATTCTGGGCCGCTACTTTGCCAGACATAAAGGTAAGCAGGATGCTCTGCAAGGCCAGAGGGTCACGAACTCCACGGCCCTCGCATCTGGGGACTTGGCTCGGTGTCCTTGATAGGCAGTTTGGTATACGCGGTCACCTAGGCTTCTTGATCTGGAAACCAGAGAGGAACAAACAGCAGTCTTGGCAGCACTCTGGGCGCTGATGGGGAGCACGCCTTGATTTGGATTTTCTCTAAATATAAAGCTTTATAGACCTGTGATCCCACAGTCCACACTTGGGGGTAGAGCAAAAACTATCAAATGGCTCTCCAAACTGTGGTGTGAACCCCCAAGCAATAAACATGGACAGAGGGTGCCCAGACCTACTGCATTCTGGGAAAGGAGTAGACTCGCTGTGCTCCGGGGGCCCAAACTCGGGGTAAGCTGGTCACACAGACTGGAATCCTTCATTGGTTTGATGTGCCTTAAAAGCCACATAAATATGTATTTTTAAAATTATCAGTGCAATTGATTTAAATTGCCATTAATCATCACACTTATCTGTGCAGTCTGGATGGGCAATCATCTCTTCCAATGCGCCCCCCTCTGCCCCATGCTGCTCCAAAGCTCTTCTCCCCTCTTGGTAATTTATCCTTCCTTTCCTTTGCCGGCCCCCGTCTTTCCCAGTTGTTTTTCTCAAGCCCTGCACAGTGAGCTTGTGGGGCTGTCTGTAATATTAAGTCCAGGGCCTGCAGCGCCACTGTAGGGCGTCCCATGAGCACAGCAGCGGAGAGACCAGGTACTTGACCACCGCCTTTAGGATCTGGAGCGTGTCTGCAGTGCAAAGCGGCCTGGAGCCCTGCACACTGGCCGCCCCTACCCCCATGCCCAGCTGTGCCCCGGACCAGGGGCAGGCTGCTGAGGCCAGAGAGCAGGACAGACCTCAGTGTGGGCGGCACAGGGAAGGGGGAGACGGCTTCCCCAGCCTTTCATTCCAGTCGCTTTGAAAACTTGATACCATAGCCAGTGTTCCGAGTTTTTTTATGTAAGAACCCCCAAGAATACAGCATCCCTGGTGGGGAGAGGGTCCCTCGCTTACTGCAGCCGCGTAAGCTCCACCCCTGCATCTCACCCAGGTGCAGTCCGCGTGTTTCTCTATGCCGACTGTTGGGACTTGGGGCTCAAAGTGTTGCGGACGGTCATGTTCTGTGGATTGTCGTTATAAAGTGGCTGTGCCGATTAGCGAATCCATGAATCCGGGTCCGGGCTCGAGTCCTATCCTAAGGGGGAGATGCTCCTTCTAGAAGGCAGATTCCCCACCTCGATTCCGGCTGGTAGATCACCACCGTATTTCTCAATCTGGAACCCCACCGTGACACAGAAAGCAGGCGAAAATCGAGCCTACCTGTGCGAGCTCCTCGCTTCCGGATAGGCAGTCACGGCTGTCGGAGGCACTGGCTCAGACAAGCAGTGGGAGATGGCGGTAGAACGCGGTCAGGGCCCTAATTCATTTATTGGCTAATTGCTCTTCCTTGCTTCGGTCTTTAACCATGTGCGCGCACATCCCGGTCACTGGTCCTGGGCGTTTACTGTTGACATGTTAGTCAGCGGCTCTCCGGCTTTCTGCATTTTTAGCTCCCACTCACGCCTTCTTCTGCTGACATTCTCTGGTCATAATCACTGCTCTAATGTCTCATTTGCTGAATTATATCGCAGCGGTTCAGTCGGAGTGGTGCCTCTGGAACCCCCGGACTCCCATTTGACTCACCCACCTCGCTCTCTTCTTCCGATTGTTTTTTCCCCTCTGCTGCCTGCACACCACTTCGGCTGACGATGGCCATAAAGCAAGTTGCCATCTCTGTACCACTTTACACAGAGGCCATCAGACAGTCACGGTGCTTTACCCCTTCATCTTTCAGGTACATACTTCACTCATGAAGCCAAAGGAGCCGATGACGCAGCAGACGCTGACACAGCTATAATCAATGCAGAAGGAGGACAGAACAACTCCGAAGAAAAGAAAGAGTACTTCATCTAGATCAGCCTTTTTGTTTCCATGAGGTGTCCAACTGGCCCTATTTAGACGATAAAGAGACAGTGATATTGGAACTCGCGAGAAATTTCGTGTGTTTTTTTAATGAATGGGTGGAAAGGTGCGAGACTGGGAAGGCTTGGGATTTGCTGTGTTAAAAAAAAAAATGTTCTTTGAAAAGTACACTCTGCTGTTTGACACCTCTTTTTTTAATTGGTTGTTTTTGATTTTTTTTTTTAATTTTTCTTTTTTTTTCCTACCAAGTCAAACTTGGATGCTTGGATTTAGTTCGGATAGATTGCAGAAAATTCTGTGCCTTGTTTTCTGTGTGTTGCGTTTTTTTTTTTTTCTTTTCCTTCTTCTTCCTTGTGTGCATTTATTTTTCTCCCCTTCCCGCCCCCCCCCCCCAAAAAAAAAACTTTGAATTTCTTTTTTCCAAAATCTCCCATTTTGGAATTTGCCTGCTGGGATTCCTTCATCTTTATTCCCTTGGTTTTGTTTCTGTTTTTACTTTTTGTTGTTTCTTTTGGAAGTAACTGCTTTCTGTTCAAAATTCAGTTTCCTAAAAGGAGAACCAGCACAGTTTAGATCTCATAGTTCAGAATTTAGTGTATCCATAATGCATTCTTCTCTGTTGTCGTAAAGATTTGGGTGAACAAACAATGAGAACTCTTTGCTGCTGCCCATGTTTCAAATACTTAGAGCAGCGAAGACTAGAAACTTAGACTGTGATTCAGAAAATGTTCTGTTTGCTGTGGAACCACATTACTGTACAGGGTTACCTGCAAGTGCGGTGTGTCGCCGTGAGATTGAATTCTGTCTTTATTCTGTACCTTAGACGGCTCAGCATAGATCTCCCACGCTGTCCAGAGGGTTTGGGGCAGAAAGGGCTCCTCCTTTCTCCATGTCCTACGCAGACCTGACGGGTCTGTTCCTTTTATAGACGTGGACAAATCTGAGTTGCCATAGGCGGGGAAGTAGGGAGGAGGGAGATAGTTCTGCTCTGGTTATTTCTGTTCCCAATGATTCCATGCACCTTTCCCAATCGGCCTTACTTCTCACTAATTTGTAGGAAAAAGCAAGTCCGTGTGGTGTGCGAATGACTGACGGGACAGGGTTTTTGTGTTGCTTTTTTTTCTCCTTTGTGCTTAGTTAGGAAGGCAGTAGGATGTGGCCTGCATGTACTGTATATTACAGATATTTGTCATGCTGGGATTTCCAACTTGAATCCGTGTGAAACTTTCATTCCTTCAGATTTGGCTTGACAAAGGCAGGAGGCACAAAAGAAGGGCCGGCATTGTTCTCACACTGGTCTGCTGTCGATCTCAGTTCTCGAAAGGTCAGAGCAGAGGTGGAGAAACAGCATGTAGGGATATTCAGTCACTTAATCAAAACTCAAATGTGAGTGTTTTTATCTTTTTACCTTTCATACACTAGCCTTGGCCTCTTTCCTCAGCCTTAAGAACCATCTGCCAAAAATTGACTGACCCTCGCATGATAGCGGCCGTGGCAGGTAGCTACTTCAGTGAGTTACCCGGAACATGTCTTAGACAGGAGCCTTGGGAAAAGGGAAAGGAGTCAGTAACCATTGACTTTTTTTTTTTTTTTAAAGAAATGTGGGGATGTTCACTGAAACGTCTAGAAAATATAGAAGTAGTCCTGAAGGACGAAAACTGAACTCTTACCAGATGTGTTGGTAAGGCTCCAGACTCCAGAATTCAGTCCCTGTGGAAAGATGGCATCAAAAAAAAAAAAAAAAAAGAAAAGAAAAAAAAAGATAGATCTATATCTATATATATATAAATATATATTATATAACATTTTCAGTGAGTCGTTTTTGGATTTTGCAAGGTGCATTTTTACTATTGTTACCTTATGTGGAAAACTTAACGCTGATTTATTTAAGGGGGAAAAAGTGTCGATTCTTTTGTTATTGGAAAGCGTGTTTATTTTTCTTGTCTTTCTTTTTAACCTTTGATAGAACCATTGCAATACGGGGGCCTTTTGGGAACGGACTGGTCTGTAAAAGAAAATCCATACCGAGCAGCATTTTGGTTTCCCTGCTCCTATCCCTTGGCACTTCACCAAGACGAAAAGCCACAACCAACACCCCTTTTTCAATAAATTTTATAACGTGCAGCTCTATCCCGAGCCCTTAGCACCCACCTGACCATAGTGTGATCATATCAAAGGGTGAGAACCATTTCGCATGTTGTTGAAAGGTTTGTGTTTTTGTTTTTGTTTTTTTTTCCACTGTTCTTTTTTAGGATATAAAAGCAAAAGCCTACCCTTCCTCACTCGATTGGCATCTCATTTCTGGGACCTCCCTCCTCTCTGTTTTGAAAAGTGTACAGTAGTGCAGTGTTCCTGATGTAACTTTATGGCTTACAATGTTGACATGTCTCAGGTTCATGTGTTTCGATTGGTGTTTTCTGTCTCAGGTAGATTGCAAAGTGTAGGCCCCACACATTGGAAAAAAAAAATAATAATAAACAAAGCAAAAACAGGAAATTATGGGTTTTAGTTGTATATTGGTTTATGTATTTTTTCTTAAGTATACAGTGCACTGTTTGAAAATGTATTGTTGAGTATTACTTTGTACAGGATGATCACTTTTTTTAGAGTGAAGAAAGAACAAACTTGTTTTTTGTGTTTTTTAAAGGAATATAAAATAATGAAGGATGTATAATTGATGCCAAATAAGCTTGTTCTTTAGTCACACCGACGTCTTACTTTTCCCTTTAGGCCAGTTCTGTTTTTAAGGTGTACATGAACAATGTTACGGTGTAAGAAACTCCATATCCATATGTTCTCATTCGCATTTTGTATTGGTTCATGTATACCATTTTTACAAAAAAAAAGAAAAAAAAAAGAAGTACTATAAAATATCTGTCTTCTTAATAAAAAAAATTAATGTTACAAAGTGATCCTTAATCTCATTATGGACTTCTTATGGATGCTTGGGCCTGAGAGAAGAGGTGGGCAGGGGCCAGCTTCCTCCTCAGGACCCCTCGTGGGGGGGGGGGGTTGGGTCTCGCCGGGGCGGTAGGTGGATGTTAAGAAAGGCGGCACCGGCTGGCTTGCTTTCAGTCACTCTCTCCTCTGCTCATCCTGCCTGTCCTTGTTCTCTTCTACCCTCTCAGACAGGTGGGCCAGGTGCTCAGGCTGCGTGTGGGCCCGACCTGGGCCCCTGCCAGGTCGACTCAGCAATTTATGCAGGTGCGCGGCCGCCATGATGGACCGTCCGGGAGGGCCCTTCCTATGGACGCCTCTCCTGCCCTGAACCCCCCTTTCACCTGCCACCCCCACCAACTTCCCTGTGTTGGCTGCTCCACCTGTCTCTTCCTTTGGGATTGTTGTCTTAATTCACTCCACCTTCTTCATTTCAAGCTCTCTTTCCTTCACACACAAGAAGACATACTCTGCGGAGGACTGGTCCGGCCGCGCGAGATTGTTCTCACCTGACTGTTCAGGCTGCTGAGACTTTAGGGCCGGGAGGGGTGAGCAGCAGGAGCGTGGGTGTCTCCCTCCTTCCCTTGCAGGCCTAAGCCAGTGGCGACTCCACTTAAGAGTGACCGATCTTACAAATGCACGGCTAACAGCTGAGCGGCTCCAAATGTCCTTTCCCCTCCAGCCTCACAGCTCTGGTTGAGTTCTCCTTTTCTCTCTCGGGCAGGTTATGGGGGAAGCCCAGCAGTGGAAGAAAAGGTAAGCGCCAGAAAAGCCAAAGGCCGCGTCTCTCATTTCAGCCTCCTCCAGCCCAGCCTGGCCTCTCTCGCCTGTCTCTGTAAAATTCCGTGGCTCAGAAGTGCAGTTCCTCAGCACCTGCTCTGTGTCCAGCATTGTGAGAAAACACCGAGAAGTGTAAGGTAGCTTCCAGAGGCTAACCAGGACATCAGTTATGCCCACGGGAAAGCACAAAATGCTCCCCAGCTCTGGAGGCCACACCAAATGTAGTTAAACTGCTTGGAGCATGATACAGAATTTTTTGGAGAAGGGCTGTCTGGGGGCCAAAGTTAAGACAGCATCCACGGCAACCAGACCCTGGCTGCACCTTAAAGAATGACTAGTGTCGAGAAGTAATTGCATGGATGGAGGTGACACAAGACAGTGAGCCCAGCTGGCTGGCATGTATGAGAAGGATAAAATTACACAAGGCATGGAGGGTGGGGTGAGTCTGTGACAGTTCCCAACCCAGGGGTGTCAAAATTTCCAGGCCCTCGCACTGCTGCCAGAGGGAGGGAGCAGTGGGGAGCACTCCCTCACCGTAGCTCTAGAAAATGACGATGTAGGTGATAGCGCTAAGAGGTGAAGAAGATCTCCCTCTCGAGACCGCCTGGGTTCAAATCCCCTCTGGGCTACTTCTTAGCTGTAAAACCCCAGGCAAGTCACCTACCTACCCTACTTGGCCTTGTTCTCCTGCCATGTAAGAGCAACCAGTGGGCGTAAAGATTGCTAGCAAATGAGGTAGCAGACACCAAGTAAGTGCTTGTACGTACAGTCAGTCATAATACATGGGCGAGGCAACTTGTATCCCAAAGGTGGCAGGTCACCCATGGCTGCCAGCAGGGGTCACTGCTCAGGGGTAGCCTAGCATGCTCCCGTGCACAGGGACCTGGCTCGACCTTGTGAAGCCGCCGAGGAGGTTCAGTGACCCTTTTCTCCTCCCTGTTACCCCCGGCCCTTGCACAGAGTACGCTTAATGTCACCAACTCTGTCCCCTTGTCTATACAGTAAGATTCCAGATTCCGCTGAAACCACAGAGAAGGGGCCAGAGACATTCCCTGAACTCAGCAGACGTGAGGTGGCATCTCGCCCACGTCTGTGCTGGGCTATGCAAATGTAAAGGCGCCGGAAGCATCTGCATAGCAGGAACTTGATAAGTTGCCTGGGCCTTCATTTGGTCTGGGAGTGAAAATGGGCCTCGTGTCCTCTAGAGAGTTTTCACAAATGTTTTGGCCTGCTCGCATTCTCCAAATACATCAACTGGAACCCCGAGGTGATATGCGGGTGTTAATTGGTGCAATCTTTCACTGTCCTCTGTCTACTTGAAATGTAATTCTTGTACTGCTGTGGACTTACTCCATGGAGAAATGTCCCTTTGACGCTTTCATCCAGAACCTGAAAGCAGCCACACAGGTGGAGAGACACTGCACTACAAAACTATACCTAAGACTAATACACCCTCTTGCCAGCTGAGTCATGAGGAACTCTCTCTCACATTCCTTCAAAGTGCATATCCCCAGGCATACGTGTAGTTTGGAAATACTTCCAAAATGAAGCGGTTGATGTCCTGACCCAGGGCAGAGGGGAAGGTGAGCGCTGCCGATACCTTCACGGCAGTGGCAGCCTCCAAGTAGGCATTCAGCAGGTGGGCTTGATGAGGGGGACTAGTTCAGCACCTGGCTGCCTGAGATTTTTATTCTCATTCTCAACTGGTCACCGTTTCTATTGTTGATCTAAGTCCATCCTGAGCCTTGAAACGCGGCGCCAGTCCTGACTTTAGTGCTGTCAGTCCCATCGTGCTTAAGGACCTGCAGGGAGAATCTTCTCCCTTACAGAGTGAAGGGTGTTTTGATCGTGGCTCTGCAGAGCCTCGCCATTGCTAGCAGTTAGAGTGAGGGGCCTTCAAAATGAGGTGTAGGGCATGTTAGAAAAATTCAAACCATATTCTCTGACATATTCCTCGTGGCATAGGCCTCCGAGAAGAGCCACGATTTCAACCCTTCCACTTTCCCCGCTCACATACCATCCCATGTGATTCAAAAGAAGGGGTGGGCATCTGGATAATGTGAGCACCCCAAAACAGATACTCGAAAGCAAAACTTATGCTTTCAAGTCTGCTATCCTCAGCCTCCAGCATCTTCTATAAACAGGAAATGATATTTGCTTGGCTTTTTATATTTTTGTTTTTCTCTCCAAAGTGAACATAAGAGGTCTACTGCCCCTGGTGGTCAGTCCCCAGAAGTGCAACTCTTGCACTTTCTAAGTATGGAATTCCAAACTGAGTCCGGGCTTTCTCTCTTGCATACACCTACTCTCAGCTCCGATTTCACTCCCCCCTCCTCCTCCTTTGAGGCGTTATGCAGTGGGCGGTGATTCCAGGGAAAGTGAAGACTGCTACTGAGGGTCAAATCAACACCTGGTCTGGGGCCAGAACCTCTCCAGCTGCCCTCCAAATGTGCTCTAGCTCCCGGTCATATTTCAGACATGATCGCCTTAAATCTTCCTTAAGTGCTATCTTCTCAGGTTAATTAATCACCAGACTTAAACTTGCTGTTACCAGCAGGAAGTCCATCCTGAAGTCAGCAATGTTACAATTGCATCTTCTAATACTGTTTATCCTGCATTAGTGTTTACTTAGGGGGAAAATTGATCTGTAATTGATATTTCAGTCTTCCAGAGCTGGTGTTGGAAGAGCCTAATGCAAAAGCCTTTAATAGCAAGCAAATATTTAAATCCCTTAATGGTTGCTGAATATTGAAATGTGTGACTTTATTACTCTTTTTGGTTTGTTTTCTCTGTAGTTGTATATTTCATCGTTTAAACTCGCAACGGATGCTGGCATGCTCAGTCTAGCTAATCCACAAAAGCCGTTTGCCCAGACACAGCAGACCTGATTAAAAAGTATTGCTATGGAAGGAAGTCTCTGCACTAATCAGTCTCTGTTAGCTAGTGACAAAATTACTATCCATCTCTCTCTCTCTCTTTCTCTTTCTCTCCCTCTCTCTAGGCCTGTTTTCTCTAACCTCCTCTCCCAGAATAAAGTGATGGGGGCAGCTATAGTGTTGCAATTAGGAGCATGAATCTTATATCGTTTGGACAAGGAAGGGGAAATGCCATTACTGTCAACAGAAATGTCCTACTTGGGTGTTTTGCTCCTACTTCCCTGCCAAAGCCCATCGCTGCTGCTGAAAGTGTCTTAACATTCACAGCTGTTTTTGATGGCTTGATTCTTAACACAGCCAGAAATATAGCCGGGAGATGCTTAAGACAGTTTATGGAAAATAATAGATTTCCTTCCAGAGGCGCCAATGCATCGAGAAGGGCCTTGAGTCTCCTTAGACCCAGTCAAGATCTCCAGTTTTCTCCCTTTCTGGCTACAGTTACAAACACTATTGCTTAAAAAAAAAAAAAAAGGCCCTTTTGAATCCTCTGTTTTCCCGGTTGGTTTCTATCAGCACCCACAAGTCTCTGGCACCCCTTCTCACCACTCACCTCCAGCAGCCGTGAGACCTCACAAGAAGCAGTGCCTGCAGAAGCGGAAAGAAAAAGACACGGCAGAGTGGAGAAGAACAACTCCAGGAAAACCAGCGGAGAGAGCTCAGACTAGGTGCCAGCCTGGGGCTCCAGAGACAGAGGTGGCTGTGTGAAGGCCACCGCTCCAGTCCTTGCACAAGGTTGGGGCCCTTCCCTGTGGCCCTCAGGAATGCCAAGAAGTGTAGTTCTCTCTGCTAGCTTCGCTCTCCAGCCCTGTCACCGAGCCACCTCTGACCCAGCCCTTAGTTAGGGGCCGCTGGGAACTAAACTCCCTTTGGCGGGTCAAGAGGGAAGAGCTTCCAGGTCACAGGTGTTTGGAAGTCTGCAAGGACAAAGCCGCATGCGGTGCTTCAGCCCTAGGTTGCAGCTTTCAGACTCTTTCTGCCAATGCATGTCAAAAGCCATGTGTTCCTTCACCCCAGAGTGCCTCCCCATCCATGCCTTCCTGCCGGAGAGGTAGGTAGAGGGCGCAGGACGACGGCAAGCTGCTGCCAGCCCGCTCTCTCCCTTCCACTCTAGTGCAGCCGCAAATACCCCCAGCCGAGTTACTGCCACTCCCCCACTGTGTTCATTCTCAGCTTCTCCTAAATGGAAACCATTAATCATACTAAATTGTGCAATGATTCCCTGATAGGGAGAATGCTGATGGCAAAAATCATTCTCCTTTGTTGTGCCAGGCAGGCAAAAGGCAGAAGTATTAGCTCATTGCCCTGCCTGGCTCCTTGCAAATGCTGACCATGTGTTTACCCATGCAGCTGCTTCTATGCACACAGCTTATTTTAGCACCGGTCTAAGGCATTCCAACTGTTGACAAAAACGAAGTGCCCAGGCACCCCTTTCTTATTCCAAGGACTGCCAGGAAGACCGGTAGCCTGGGGTGCTCCCTGAAGTCTCCCCAGCTCAGCAATGCCCTGGGTCTCCTGTGGAACGTCCACGGTGGTCTCAGATGGGGTGAACTGGTGGGGTAGACTGTGCCCCCACACACACTTCTGCCAGCTGGGTTGCAGAAGAAGCCAGGTGTGAGTACCAAGGAGGGTTTTTGCCTTTCAGAATTTGATGTCTGCTTCGCTTTCGACAAGCCTCTTTGTAAGCCACCCCTTCTGAATTAGAATCATTTTCCAAAAGCTCTTAAGCTATGATTAATGCCAGGGCTGTTTTTAACAATCATCCTGCCAGTCTTAAGCTGTAGTCATTTTCAATAATTTGGAGTGCTCAAAGGCAAGCCAGGAGTTTGTTGACAAGAAAACCCATAAGAGCGCAGCCAGGCAGCCACAAAAGATGGAAAAGCAAAGGGACCATTTGGGCTTAGCTGGCTTTCTGCTCCCAGAGTTTCACCACTAAAAGTTTGATTGAACGCTCACAATGCATTAAGGATCCCAACTGTGAGCACCGCTCAGCTAGAGGGCTGCCAGCCTGGCTTTTGTGTGAACAAACGCGCAGCGTGTTCGGAGAGCTTCTGGTTTATTTATGGACATGTGTGGTTCATTCATGCCATCCCCAAACCAGAGAGTCCTCATTTGTCTTCTCTTTGCCAACATCAAAGGCTGAGAAAGAGGCGCGGGGCGTTGCTTGGGGGCTGTTTACTTCCCGTGATTGCGAGCAGGTCCCCAGCCAGGACTCGGGACTCCAGCACCACCGCTGGCCCCAGCCATCCCCTGCCATGTGGACCAGAGTCGTTCTCTTTCTAATCTTGGCGATTTCATGCTAGAGAATCCATCTGTTTGAGAAGCCCACACCGAAGCTATGGCTAGAAATGTCCATGATCACAGATTTTCTTAGACTCCGCTTCAGATGGTACTTATTTCTAGCATGTCACTCCTCCGTAGGGAAGGGTCAACTGTGGGTGACAGTTTAACCCAGTGAATTGGGTGTGATTGATGGCGATCAGGGTCTCATGCCAAGCCCTCCACCTCACCGGCCAGCAGCTAGGGTCAGTAGCTAGCCAGGGAGGAGGCCAACTTTGGGAGACTGCTTAGAGCTTTCATTAGGTAACTTCCAACATTCTTCCTTCCACCTTGAATCACAACAGGGACCCCCCCCCCTTGTCCTGCATTCCCTGTCCTCAGAAATATGTGTGGTGTCCCCTCTAGGTCCCTGATAATTTCAAACTCCTTTCTCCTGAAGCAGAATGAGTGGATTTCCACTGTTGGCCCAGGGTCATGTTTCTTAGCGAGAGCACCCTTCCCCCCCCCCCCAAATTACGTTCTACCAGTGATGCTTCCAAGCCAACTCTTACCCAGCCACTTAAAGGTTTTCCTGGCAGCTTTTCAGGGCCTGTCTGGGGCATTATGTCTCTAGCAGGGCCTTGCCTTAGGAGTTTAGGCTCGGGGCAATGAAGTTTCCTGTAAACCTGCTTCTTCCCCGCGTTCCTTTCTCAGTGATCAGCAACATCAGCCCTGTGGACTAGAATCCTGGAGTCTTGTTTCATCCCTCCATCTCTTGTATCTCTCACTTCAGCTGTCCCCCAAGTCCTGCCCATTGTCCCCTAAATGCTTCTCAATTTGATCCAACCTGTCACCTCTGTGTCACTCCCTTCATCTAAGCCTTTGACCGTCAGGCTCAGGAATGTAACAGCCTCTGCTGGTTACTGTACATCTCTCTCTCTAAACCCATCTTCAGCTCTAAACTGAAGCACACCAGGTCCCCCTGCTGCTTGGAAACCATTCGTGGTTGACCTATAACTGTAGAATAAATAAATCCTCGCAATCTGCCATCAACTTAGCCTGCCCATTCAGTCTCTCCCAGCCCCCTGCACTCAGACCCCCACCCTCAATACATTCCGTTGCCGGCTCACACCTCTGTGCCTTTGGACATGTGGAGAGCACCTGTGGAGAGCACCTGCGGTTACTCTCTGCACCTGCCCAGCCTCCCACGCTGTGCTGGGTTGGTGTCCGTATCACCCATCTGAACTGTGCGTTTTCCTTCCTTCCTTCCTCAGTGCTCAGTGAATTCCTTGAGAGTAGAGATGATTGGCTCCATCTCTTTCTTGGAAACGGAGCAGTCTCTGGTCCCGTGCTCACTGATTATTGACTACGGGAGATTTGGTTCCATCTGTGCATGGATTTTGGCCTTTCATCTGTCTGTCTCTTTCCCGGAAATACCCTGGACACGCCTGCTCTCTTCCTGCTTTCTAGCCAGCAATGCTGTAGTTCCTAGAACTCCTTCTGTCTGCTCTGCTGGCTTTCTCAGTTTTAGATTTGGTTTCCGGCTGTCCTGGCCAACATCCTCCTCCCCCCCCCCCCCCCCCCTCTTCCCTTCTTCTCTGGGTGGTTTGATCCATTAAGGTCAAGATGTACAGGGCCTATGTCCTAGAAACACTTCACGGTCCTGTGACCATACTTGAGAACTGGAAAGGAAAAATGATGGACTCCAAAATACAGAGAAACAAACCTGTAAGATCAAAATGATGACATGTTTAATTCTGTATCTGCAAACCCTTAACAAGTCGCCCTGCAAGCTGCAGCCAAACTGAGGAATTACATATACATTACACCCAAAATAATAAATAAATAAAATAAATTGTATCCATGCGGATTTGAATGTATTTGATGCAGTGCTGCGTAGAGCTTCCAAAAACACAGTCCTGAAAAGGTTTTTGAACCTCTTCTTTTCTTCTCTTCTTCTCCTCTCCTCTTCCCCTGCTCTCTCCCCTGCCTTCCCCTCCCCTCCTCTGCTGAATCTGTACCCCAAACCTGGGTGTACAGACCAGGTTCTGGATGGGGCCAGCCCAGGGAAAGACCCCAGGTACCCAATGGGCAGAGTGTGATTGATCTGTGAGCCATCAAGCCCTCCTGCAAAGCTGACACTTTGCAAGAATTTAACAAATACACCCACAGAGCAGTTCAGCTTTCTATGCTGCGCTCCGGGAAATAGGCACAGAACACTGTAAACTTTCCCCAGTGACTGCTTCTCCGGGTTTCAGCAATGCAGTCTGTAGAGATAACTGCCTGGCATGTTCAGCTTCCAATCTGTACAGCAAATTGTCAGCGTGGACACCCTGGGCTTTGGAGGGCAGGTGACTTTTCTGCCCCTCTGTTGTCTTCTGGCTTTTGGGTTTTGTTTTGGTTGCATGGGAGGAGGTGGGCGGGTGGTGATGAGCTGAGACTCCAGGAGCCGGTATTCAGAAGTACTGCTCCCAGCTGTGCCTCTGATTCTGCTTGTGACCTTGGGCAAATCGCTTCCTCCCTGGGTCCTGCTCTCCAGCTATAAAGAGCCTCAATCCCAAATTGTTTCCAGTTATTTGTTTGTGAAGTACTTTGACATCTCAGATCCTGAACACAGTAAAGAGCAAAAATATTGCCGTTGTGATAGTGCATTTAAAACCCGAATAAAATGCATTGCCAGCTCTGGCGCTGAAAATTAAAAAGCTGTAATAGTTGATGACTAATTCTACTGTTGCTTTCTGGTATCTTTTCCATGCTGAGATCATCCAGTTTTTGCCCTTTTTTTCTTTCAAAATAAATAAAGGCTCCTTTGCGAAGAATGGATTTCATTTAGTAAATAATTTTGACTTGTGTAATTACTTCTGTGACTTTTTTTAACAACTGGGCTTAGCTGAAAAAAAAAAAGCTTCACCCCATCGCAGGCGCCCTTCGCCAGTGCTCCGTAAAGTAATTGTGCAATTAGGAAGAAGTGGCTGGAGCCTTGTGTTTCTCTATATTTTAAGTTGGGAGCCTGACTTTGACTCCCAGCTTGCTGGAGTGGGTGAGCCAGCCCGTTATTAAAAAAACAATTATGCTGTTAAAAAATCAGGAGCTCCACAAGTGAAGAGCATCGATTGGCGAGAGCTGGTCAGTTATCACCAGAAGGTCCTGACAACACACTAATAGGTTTTTCTGAAGATCCAATCAAATTTTCTAGGCAGAGGCTTGAGGTGTTCCACATGGGATAATGCTTGTCCTGGCCGGTATTGATTTCAGAGTGGCTCTCTCCCTCTCTCTGCCTCGCACTCTGCTGCCGCTGCTACCTTTTCCCCCTTCATTTTTTTTGTAATAAAGACTTGTGCTTTGTGTTCCATGTTAACAGTTTGATGGGGGGAGCCCCCCCCCACCCAAAGCCCCTGAAGGTGCCTCTCCGCACTCTCCTGTTACTCTATCCTTAAAGTCAGAGACAGCATTATTCGCTCCCCTCGGCTTCTCCCTGACCTTGTGGATTTTATTCTCAAAGCTCTTCCAGCCCTGCCAGCAGCCCCTCGGAGGAGAGGTCCAGCTAGAAAGACTGCGAAGGAGGGGTGAAGGGATTTAAAGGTACAGAGTTTTCCAGCAGCCCCCAGAGAAGTGAATCCCTCCCGCAAGCAGAGGCTGCGGATCTATGCCTATGCGTGTCACTGTGTGTGCTCTGGTGTTTGTGTGTGTGTGTGTGTGTGTGTGTGCGTGCGCATGCGTGTGGTGGGAGGCAAGGCTACCAGATACAGCTGTCCAGACTGCTCATGGGACTAGTGTCCCATCAAGGGGTGCCTGTGAGCAGCGATCCAGTCTACCCTCTGCTGGATAAATTTGGTGCCAATCACGACTTTCTTACCATGCACACAAAGATAACGCATGGCTCATCAGTGAGAGACTGGAAAGACTTCTCCAGTGGCCTGGGAACCCACACTTCTTGGTCCAATCTGCTGGGCTACTGACGGTGCCCCACACACACCCCGGAAGGCAGTGCAAGGATATAACAAAACACATCCTCCATCACTCCATCACACTTGGGGCCCCCGAAGCCTTGCTGGGTCATCTGCTACACATGCCTATTCCCCACCTCTTCTGCAGGTTCACCCTGTTCAAGACCCCTGTGGGGCCTGGCAAGGGTGTGCACCACAAGGTTTTGTTTGCACCATCTCTCCTGTTCCACCTGCCGAAACTTGGAAGAACATGGGCTTCGTGTTGAGCGGACCCAAGTTCAAACCCCAGCTTCACTTAATAAAATGAACTTTGGGCAAGTCTCTGAGTGTCTCTTCCTCTCTAAAACACCCACCTCACCCCAAGTTGTGGCCAACACAATGGTAAAAATGCTGAGCAGCTCATGGATATCAGTCACACATGCTGGATGTGAGGCACCAGGAGCCGTCTTGTCCCCAGGGCTTCCTGGACCTGTCTGTAGCCCCTGCACAGACCCAGGACCATGCGCACTGTTTGTATCCTGACACATTCCCCTCTCATCTCTCAGGTGTGTGGCTGCCTCTGCCCCCCGCTGTCCCTGCCTTCCCTGGCAGGGTGGAACCCCACACTGGGTCCCCACAGCCCATGGTACATTAAGCACAAGGGGGCTTCTCTGAAACACCTTGACTTGCAGGGTCTTCGTTGTTACACAATGTTTGGTCTTAGCCCTTCCCACGCAGGAAGCAACTTAAATGGAACCTGGAACTTGGCTTTAGCTCATCCATCACAGGGTATGGGATGTCAGATCTGCAGAGCACCTCAGCTCACCCAGTCCCCATCCCTCACCCTGCATGACCCAACACAAGCAGCCTCAAAGCCAACACCCAAGCACCAATCCAGCCAGGACACTGGAGTCCAGGAACAGACATGGGGGGCCTCGGCTCTCACCACCAGGCGGTGGGGGCTCTGGGGCTGCAACCTCATACCTGGTGGTCATTGAAAATGCAGGTTCAGGCCTCCCTGCAGCTATTGGGAACTCTGGGGGGTGGAGCCTAGCCACTTGCACTGCAGGGAGGCATGTAGATGATTTAATGCCTGCAGCAGGGTGAGGCCCACAGGTATTAGAGGGAAAGGGTACTGCAGTCAAATTCTGGCTTTACTTCCAGCTTCCATGACGCCCTCCGTGCAGCAGGAAACACCTGCTCACCTGACCTTGGTTTCTACGCACACAAGCAGGACGGGATTCTCCGGACACATAGTAGGTACTTAAGGAAGGTTTGCTGAATTTGAATTGCCACTTGTCAGGGTGAGTGGCTGAATGGCTGATTGCAAGGCTGATTGGAGGACATGCAACTTTCATCACCTTCATCAGAAAACACAAATCTATTAAGTGCCTAAATGCACGCTACTCTATTCTCCACATAGTGAGAGAGAAAAGGCATTCTATCAGTCCAGGAACTCAAGTCAAGGGAAAAGACCAAAGGTTTGGAAATTGGGGAGATCACATCCCAAGCCCAGCTCCACCACAGGGTGCTGGTTTTATTCACTTGATTTTATTCAATTTGCACTGACACACACCTGTACCCCAGGAATATATATCCTTGTGCTATATATTGCTATACCAAGCAATAAAATAACAGCTAACAGTTTTGACCACTTACTGCAGGCCAGGTACTATTCTAAGTATATTAGTGTGGCCACACGGGCTAGGTACCACCTCTACCCGCTAGGTGCCATCTCTATGGGCTAGATATTATACCCATTCTGCAGAAGGAACACCTGGACACAGGAATTGCTCTCGCTCAGGATCAATAGCAGGGAGGGACTTTGTCCGTAAGTGATGTTGGAGTACTCACTTACCCACTAAACTCCATTTTGAAAGATATGAGCTGTTCGGGAAACATGGTGAAGCAGCTCTGGTCAGACCCAAAGGGGAAGAGCTGGAGCCAGCCCCTGACATAGCCCTGTGAGGACCCTGAGTGCATCGCCCCATTTCCTCAACCCTCACCAGGCAGTGACAGAACCTCACTGTCCGGGCCACGAGCCATGTGGGGTCTCTTTTCCCGGCCCAGTGCCCCTTGCTGGGCGGACCCCACCCCGCGCAGCCCGCAGCCCTCAAGTCCCCACTCAGACCCTGGCGGGCACAGCCTTGCGGGCACCGGCAGCCGCAGCCGGGGGCGCCTGTCGGACGCCGCACGGCTGGTGTTTCCGTGGGAACAAGCCAGGGGCATATGGCGCCGGCAGAACCCCCCCCGCTCGAGGCTGCTGCACTGGGCTTCGAGGTGGGCAGGCCGATGGCCGCCCTGCTCCCGCCACCCTCTGCAGTCAACCAGAAAGTCAGGAAATGTGCCCGCCGACCAGCGAAGCAGATGGCTGCGAATATCATGTGTATCCAATATTTATGAAATGTGAACTGAGCAGCGCTCAGGCTGAGACTCCCGTCCCAGGCAGAGTAATTCAGCCCTGTGTGATGAACAAGATTGTAATTGGGGTAGTTCCAATTTACTAACCATTTGCAAAAGATTACATACCTCTCACATATTATCCTCTCCTAATCTTACTTTAATGAACACTACTCTATCTGGATGTATAATTTCAGGGCGGGGGGGAAAAACAATTTCTAGACTAGAAGGCAAAGCTGTAGCTAATACATTAACATCCAAATTAGAGAAAGGGAGAGTAATTGTGAGATCTATAGCTAAAGTAATTCGAAGTCTCCCTCCCCTCGCAAGAGCCACGAGGCACAGGCAGCTGTAGGTGGAGAAGTGTGATGCAAACACCCGCCTGCGGGGAGGGCGGGCTTTCCCCCAAGATGGCGGCGCACCCCGGCTGGCCCACGCCGCGGGAAGACCCAGCCCCAAGAACGTGCTTCTCGCCGGGTCGTCACTAGGGGAAACGGGCGTTCTGGTAAGTGGGGGAAGCAGAACGTCAGGGAGCCACGGTACACGGCAGGTTGCCTCCTCCTGTCAGGGCCCAGGTCTGGGATGTGAGGGGTGAGTCCGCCCCCCGAGGGCCTGAGTGTCCCCACCTGCAAAGGGAGCAGGTGGAAGCAGGTGGAAGAGCAACGCCGCCTGAGCCCATGGCTTCAGCCGACCTCTTTTGAGACCCGCTGGGCCTGTGCCCAGCCCCACTAGGTGTGAGGAGGTAGACAGTTGAGAAGAGACAATGCTCTCACGACGCTTACACCTTCTCCGGGAAAGAAAGGCAGGCGCATCCCTGTGGCTCCCTGCATCTTGAGGGCTCACAACTGAGGGTGCACAACCAACATCCCAGCTGCCCACCTAGAAGTCCTCCCTGCGGCTTCCGCCTGCGGGGCTGCTGAGCTGGGAGCCTCTGCGGGTTCCCGCGGTGAGGAGAGATTTGCACCTGAAGGTGAAGGGATTTTACTGCTGTTGGCGGGAAGCAGCTGCCGCCCAGCTTGGGCTCCAGAATGAGGGTTCTGGACACAGCAGCGCCCAGTGCTCGCTCCTTTTTGGAGCCCAGACCCCACAACGGAGGTAAGACGCCCGCTCTCCCCATGCCCAGTCCCCAGGGAGTTGGCGCTTGCCGCCCTGGGAGCATCCTGAGGAGCTTCTCCTTGCTCCCAACAGGTCCTCAAGAGGGTGGGCGCGGCATAAGAGAGGGATGCAAGGCCAGAGCCCCTGCGGATATCTTCCTGGCCAGGGAGGCAAGCTCCCTCCACAGCTGTGCTGGCCCAGCCTGCACGGAGGTTAGAGCTCTCGGAACAGGGGTTCGGAGGCATTAGGGGCATCAGGTGTCTCAGACATGAGGCCCTGTGCTCCAATCCCCGGAATGGCAAGAAGGGGGGTGATGGCCAAAGTCCTGGCACCCCTCAGTTTGGAGCCCTCGCCCTTCCACTCTCACTTAACTGCCTCTCACAACCGTTT